TTATGAGGTTATTTAAATTTTTTCTTGAATTAACATAGAGATTATTATGTGGAGGCGCCGGGAATTTATATTTTCTGTTATAACTTAATAACTACTTGACCGATTTTTATGATTTTTAATTTTTTTTATTTAACTTAATTTATATTAACAGAAAATGAATAAAATTCTGGAAATTTTCCGGTTTTCCGGGAATTATTTGATTTTAAATTTTAATTATATTTTTTCCGTGCAGATATTTCCAGTCCAATGAACCCGACATAAAACAAAGCGCCCTTAAAGAACGTGGAATATCATCCCCTAGCAAGTAAATCGCACGGGCGTCGATGGCTTATCCGGGCGAGTCGCGCGTCTGTGAAATTTTAATAATATTAGTCGTTTTTATGCGCGCACAAAAAGTCACCCTTAAATTCGTCGTCGTCGTCGCCGTCAGCAGCCGAAAGAAAAATAAACCGAATCAATTTCACGATCCGCATCACGTCGAATTTAATATTATACCAACTACTCTCAAATTACATTCCTTTTACACCACTAGTTGTATAAGAGTATTTCGGTATTTAGAAAATAAAATTCTCGACATTTTCTCGGCGCGCGACGAGAATTTCCTTCATAAACTAATAAAATAGCAGCTGATAAATAAATTGTGCAGGAATGAAAATACTTACCTTGAAAGGCAAGCGCTGCAAGGACGAAAGACGACAGGAAGCAAAACAACAACGCCATCCGACCGCATCCGGCGCATATTTTTATCATACTCATCTCAAACATCTTGATCATTTAATTTTCCCTCATCACTAAATAAGTTTTTAGTCGGAATTCACAATTTTGTTGCATTTTTAGCGTTTTGAGTCACTTAATATCCTTTTTACAATGCAGTTCTATTGATCTTTATTTAAACACGCTTCGTGCACTTGCATAAAACGTATTTTTATAAAAATCCACATCGCAAACACTTTTGTCTCCGGAAACCAACATTTCACTTCCGGTTGCACTTCCGGTTTAAATAAAAACACAAAATTTACGTTTTTTTTTGTTAAATAAAAAAACGTTCGATATTTTACAAATAAAATATTTTTTTTATGTTAATGTTAATAATTTGACACTATAGCAACAATTTGCTGACGTGTTACACTCTTACACATGTGTTTGACACACATGAACAATCCGTAAACCTTGCGACGTGACGCTCGTGACGAAACTAAACTCCCGCTAGCGTCGTCCGTGGGTTTTATGCGCGGCGTCGCGCATGCCCGCAACTGTAATGCCCGGCGCCTCCACCGTCTCAAAACGCACCTTTGGCGAATAAAATCCTACAAAGTATTTTATTCAAAAATCCGAAACGACATCAAATATTTTCAAAGTTAATATTTACGTCTGAATAACAGAAAAATTGCGCGGTTTTAATTAGCTCCCGTGGGAGAATACAACGAATGTGATTAATTTGTTGCGTGACACAATCTTTAGAATACCTATGCATTGAAAATATTTCCATTCAGTTTATTCCATTACATTCAGCTTGTTTCCTATTCATTTAGACGTTTATAATTGGCTATGGCAGTTTTTTCTTGAATTATATTAATTAATACGCTAATTAATTTTTTTTTCTCCTGAAAAACACTCATTAAAAATTTATAAAATTACAACACGATAATAATAAATTTATTACAGTTGTGGAATTAATTTTTTTCTATATGATATTATGGTGGAGGCGCCGGGATGCATGAAAATAAAATAAATTGCAGGAAAAAGACAGTGTTTCAATGTAAGAGGATTGAGTTGACGATGAGGGCGTTAAAAAGACGTTCATTAGACATCTTTAATAAAAGCGTAATTTACGCTTTCCGGCCTCTGCCTTCGCCGCCCCTTTAACATCTTTTTTTCTCTTTTTGTTGTTTTTTTGTGCAGCTCACATCAATGAAATGGATCTTTCTAATGTGGACGTAAAGTAAAAAAGTAGTTGTCCGACTGAAGCATAACTACATAAATTAGGCCCCTGCGCACGTCTCGGATAATGAAACCCAACACGGTTCGCTTCTCGCGCCGTGCCCGAAAACCAAGCACACACTCGAAAACTCCCAACAGGATCGCTTCATAGTTGTGGAGCTCATGTTGCACGTTGTAGAGCTTTTCGTCAAGTCCTTTCGTCATTATATTTTGGACTTAATCTTCTTAGCTTTCAGGTTAAGTTTTTGTTTTTGTTTTGTTTTGGTGCCAGGTTGTAGCGAAGGTGCAAACTGGAAAGAATGGCGGAGTGAAAATGGCAGGGGTAGTAATTCACTGCATTGCATTGCATGTTGTTTATTTCCGGTGTGAATGCAGTGTACTCGTATTCATTGACAGGTGAGCTTTTCGGCGATGAAACATTGCCGGATTAGTTATCGTATTTTCTATTATACACACATCGTAAATTATTGCTTGTGATTATTGCAAATTATGACAGTGACGAGGACTGGGACCTGATTTTAGGTTAGGTTAGGTTAAATTTTGGTTATGTATGTTACAATGTTTATAACTGAAGAACAACTGGGTTGATTTTAATTTTTTTTTAAATTTTAGATTTGTGTTTCTTCTAAGTTTGAGAATAATAAATAAAACAAAAGAAATAATAGTTTTTAGATTGGGTTATGTTACGTTTAGACACCAGATTCAATAGTTAGGCACTATGTCATAATCCAAATGTTTTTTTTTATTAAAAATTTTTATTTTAAACTAAAATAAAACAAATTTATTGCAAATAATAAAGGTATTGCGTATAATAAAATTCTTATTTTTCTGCATTACAAGTATTTACGTTTTTACAAATTTAGAATCCAAATATCTCGTAAACTAAAAAAGATAAATAGGTACAAATCGCAGAGACTATTCTACGGACTAATCCCTATTAGATAGGCAAGTTAAAGTGGAAATCTGAGAGATAAAATTTTAATTCTTAAGAAAAAATTACCAAAGGGGGGGTGCGTGATACTTTTTTCGACGTTTTTTGATAATTATTATCTCTTAAACTAAAAGCGACAGCAACTAACGAATTGTTGATTCTGAAAGATTGGAAAATTCTCAATCAGATAAAAATATAAAATCGTTATATTTCCTACAATAAAAGGTTACATCTCCCGACTAAAAGTGCTAAAAAGTGACATTTTTCAATTTTTGCCCATATTATTCAATCGCAAATAACTCGTAAACTAAAAGAGATTATTAAGATCTGATTGCAGCGTCTTAATCTACGGACTCTTCTCTATAAGATAGGCTAGTTAAAACGGAAATCTGAGGGATGAAAATTTTCTTCTTAAGAAAAAATTGCCAAGGGGGGGTGCTTGATACTTTTTTTTATTAAAAATGTTTATTTTAAACTAAAATAAAACAAATTGATTGCAAATAGTAAAGGTATTGCGTAATCCGTGAAATAATTTATGTGAACTAAAATAAATCAGTCAATAAATATTTAAACATAGTTTAGATAAATTATACTTGCTTGAGTTTAATATATTCACGAGTATTATCATACTCAAGGTTAAAAATCACACGATCCTAACTATAGAACTGAAATTTCTATTTTATAATTGTAATATTTATGTCTTTATATTAATTAAAATTATTTTAATTATATTATTGATATTTTTTTTAAATATTTGATTTTTTAAATTTTTTGATATTAATTTCTTAATTATTACATCAGTTTTTTATGCATGGAAATATTTGCTATTGAAATTTTAAAATTATCATTTCCTGATTTGAATATTTCGCGAATAATAATTTACATAATATACAAGATTATGCTTTACAAAATTCGTATAAATACTCGCAAGTTTTCGGTGGAAAAGTATCAGTTTGTTCGATTACACAAACAGTAACAAATCAAATCAACATGAAATTCGTAAGTACAAAAAATATTTTTTAAATCTATTTGTTTATTTATTTGTTTATTTATTTGGTTATTTATTTATATAAATTATATTAATATAAATGTCTTTTTTTTATTATTTTTAGATTCTTGTCTTGTGCGCTTTGGTCGTTGTGGCCTCTGCTACTCCATTCTACATTGGTTCCGATGAAGAAATCCCAGCTGATATGCACTCAATGGAAGATCACAGCATCCCAACACCCAAACCCGTTATTGATATCGCACCCGCCAATATAGCTATCGATGCCGTTGCTGATGCACCTGCTGGCCACACATCTGGTGAGCTTTTCGGCGATGAAACATTGCCGGATTAGTTATCGTATTTTCTATTATACACACATCGTAAATTATTGCTTGTGATTATTGCAAATTATGACAGTGACGAGGACTGGGACCTGATGTTAGGTTAGGTTAGGGTACATTTTGGTTATGTATGTTACAATGTTTATAACTGAAGAACAACTGGGTTGATTTAAATTTTGTTTAATGTTTTAAATTTGTGTTTTTTCGAAGTTTAAGAATAATGAATAAAACAAACGAAATAGTCGTTTTTAGATTAGGTTATGTTACGTTTTGACACCTGATTCAATAGTTAGGTATTATGTCAAAATAAATCAAAATGTTTTTTTTAAAATGTTTATTTTAAACTAAAATAAAACAAATTGATTGCAAATAATAAAGGTATTGCGTAATCCGTGAAATAATTTATGTGAACTAAAATAAATCAGTTAATAAATATTTAAACATAGTTTAGATAAATTATACTTGCTTGAGTTTAATATATTCACGTGTATTATCATATTCAAGGTTAAAAATCACACGATCCTAACTATAGAACTAAAATTTCTATTTTATAATTGTAATTTTTGTATGTTTATATAATTAAATATATTTTAATTAAATTATTGATACTTTTAAAAAATATTTGATTTTATAGAATTTTTTTATATTAATTTCTCAATTATTACATCAGTTTTTTATGTATGGAAATATTTGGAATTGAAATTTGAAAATTATCATTTCCTGATTTGAATATTTTGCGAATAATAATTTACATAATATATAAGATTATGCTTTGCAAAATTCGTATAAATACTCGCAAGTTTTCGTTGGAAAAGTATCAGTTTGTTCGATTACACAAACAGTAACAAATCAAATCAACATGAAATTCGTAAGTACAAAAAATATTTTTTAAATTTATTTGTTTATTAATTTGTTTATTTATTTATATAAATTATATTAATATAAATGTGTTTTTTTTAATTATTTTTAGATCCTTGTCTTGTGCGCTTTGGTCGTTGTGGCCTCCGCTACTCCATTCTACATTGGTTCCGATGAAGAAATCCCAGCTGATATGCACTCAATGGAAGATCACAGCATCCCAACACCCAAGCCCGTTATTGATATCGCACCCGCCAATATCGCTATCGATGCCGTTGCTGATGCACCTGCTGGCCACACATCTGGATAAATTTATCAATTAACTAAAAATAATTGATCGCATGTTATGATTATGATTGTTCCTATAATATAATAATAAAATATTATATATTTCTGCATAAATTCTGTGTTTTTGTATGTAACACTTGTCTTATAAATATTTTGTGCGAATATTTAGAGAAATAAAAATAATAGAAAAGAACGAATTATATATTCTTAATCTTCAAGAAATTCTGTATTTAATAAAACATAAAAAATTTGAATTGTGATAATATTGAGGTTGAAATTAATTTATAAATAAACAGAGAATATAATGATTGAAATTATTATAAGACGTTTGATGGCGATTTTCTCGAAAACTGAAAGCTATAGAGAAGAACCGACTAAAAATTCTGAATCTTTAAGAAATTTACTATAAGATAAGATATCGACAAAATTAAGAAGATTAGAAGAATTGAAAAATAATTTAAAAGCAAAAAATGCTAATTATATAATTATAATAGAGATCTTGGATGATATTATTTAATGAATCTATATATATATATATATATATAATGAATTGCTGTTCGTTAGTCTCGCTCAAACTCGAGAACGGCTGAACGGATTTATCTTATCTTGGTCTTGAATTATTCGTGGAGGTCTAGGGAAGGTTTAAAAGGTGAGAAAGTTTTGAATAATTGCCGGGAAAATCCTCAAAACAGCTCTTTTCTATAGAATAAAATTTGACATTGAGATTCAATCATAGTTATAGTTAAATAGTTGAATTCGAGATGGCGCGCTGAAGTGCATTATTGACAAAACTTTATATAATTAATTTGTTTAAATTAAAATTGTTAATCTTATTGATAGAATTGATTCTTACTACGAGTATGTCTAGAACAAGAGAGTAAAAATGAATTACATTTTTATTAAACACAGCCGGAACGAAGTCGCGGGCAACAGCTAGTTAAGAATAAATAAAAAGATTTAGACATAAAGAAAAACCAATTAATGATTCCTAATCTACAGAATATTTTCTATAAGATACTTTAATTTGAAATAATATATGACAAAATAAAATAGGTCAAAAAAATCAGCATGAATTGCATTTGTTTTTGAATTTTTTTTGACGTGATAACGTCTTTAAAATCGTTATACGGGTGACATGTTCAGAAACTGTGTCACGAGGCCTCTCGAGGCCGATCGCAGGTATACCCCCCTCTCGTTATAACCAGAGAGAGACGGACCGATCTCCCGTCTCATCTCGAGCGCTGCCAGTCATTCCGTGAAATCCACACGAGCGGAGGCAGGCATAGCGTTCGAGTGAGTGGACCGATCTTCCGTCTCTCTCACTCTAGCGGCATACAAACGAATGGAGATTTTCTCGTGCGGTTAAGTTTTCGTTGAATGTTTTATCGGCCGATAAAAAGTTTGTAGTGTGCGGGGAGCCTAACAGTAAAACAAAATGTGAAGTGCAAGTGAAGTGTTACAACAATTGCAACAAACAAAACTTATATCACCAATAAGACGTTATCACGTAAACATCTCGATCGTAAACCTACTTTACAAACAACCATTTTTTTGTGAAAATTTTGACCTCAATTACCTGCACAACCAACATTGTTAGATTCTAATTATGATTCTATGATTTGCTATAAGATAAATTATTTAAATTATGAAAACTCAAGGTCTAGGAATCAAAAATTTAAAATAAAAAAATGCAAAAAGGTGTTTTATTTATTCTTGATATTTCAACTGTGGATATCTCCTAAACTAAAAACGATAGAAACGAACGGTTTAAAGAATGCTTTCTGATTGCTCTACAAGATAAGACAATTTATGAATTATTATTAACACAGCCTGACATACATTAAACTATTTGTTATCGAGAATCCTCAACACCTGTTCAAAATATTTCCAGAGTTATTTACATAATATTGCTATTTATAATCGTATGATTGCACTTCACAAGTGTACATAAATAGACAAGAAATCCGTTTCAATGGCACCAGTGTGTGTGATTATTCAAACAGCAACATGAATAAAAACAACATGACTACATCAGTAAGTACCTAAAAATACCTATAACTCATAAAAAATAAAACAATTGTACTTTTAGCTTTTTGCTTTGCTTGCTTTGGTAGTTGTGGTCTCTGCTGCCCCATTCTACAGTAGTGCCAATAACGTGATCCCGGAAAGCATGCCTTCAATGGCAGATCACTTTCCGATCTTTCCGATTGAAGACATGCCAATCTTTGATGTACCAACTGCTGATACCGCTGTTGATCCCTTTGTTGATGTACCTGTTTTCAACAAAGGTGGATAAAGTAATCAATTTTACAAAAATAATTGTTGGTTTGTTATGATTATGATCAATCCGCTAATGGTATAATAAAATTCTTATTTTTCTGCATAACTTTCGTTTTTACAAATGTAGATTGCGAATATCTCGTAAATTAAAAGAGATAAATAGGTATAAATCGCCGAGACTATTCTACGACCTATTTTTTATAACATGGGCTAGTTAAAGCGGAAATGCTTGATACTTTTTTTCGACGATTTTCAATAATTAATATCTTTTTAACTAAAAGCGATAGCAACCAACGAATCATTGATTCTGAAAGATTGGAAATTCTCTATCAGATCAAAATATAAAATGATAATATTTCTTAGAGTAAAAGGTCGAAAAACACGACTGAAAGTGCTAAAAAGTGACATTTTTCAATTTTTGCCCTTTTTATTCAATCGCGAATATCTCGCAAACTAAAAGAGATAATTAAGATCCGATCGCGGCGTTTTAATCTACGGACTATTCTCTATAAGATAGGCTAGTTATAACGAAAATCTGAGAGATGAAATTTTCATTTTTAAGAAAAAATTGCCAAGGGGGGGTGCTTGATACTTTTTTTCGACGATTTTTGATAATTAATATCTCTTAAACTGAAAGCGATAGTTACCAACGAATTGTTGATTCCGGAAGATAGGAAAATTCTCTATCAGATTAAAATATAAACTGATTATATTTCTTAGAGTAAAGGGTCAAAAAACGCGTCTAAAAGTGCTAAAAAATGACATTTTTCAATTTTTGCCAATTTTCTTCAATTGCGAATATCTCGTAAACTAAAAGAGATAATTAAGATCCGATCGCAGCGTCTTAATCTATGGACTTTTCTCTATAAGATAGGATAGTTAAAATGGCAATTTGAGAGATGAAATTGAATTCTTAAGAAAAAATTGCAAAAGAGGTTTAAAAAAAATTATTTTAATCAAAAATTTAGATGCGATTAGATTTTTTTAATAATCCTGTTTATGAAACACCTTAAAAATCTACAATTTACTCTACATTCCAATGCATTTATACTATTTCGATAAAACACCCTTGTGCAGTCATCCACCTCTGAGTGGTTTACTGACAGGGTGGCAAAATCTGCACCTGCTCTTCCTCCACACGCGCATCGCAAGATAAATGCTACAAACCTGCAGACGCCATCATTCCTTTCACAATTTCTCCCTTCATCCCTGTGCATGTATGCACTTTCACCCCAAACGCATCAGACCATCAAATTTCACGCACCAACTTCTCCTCAAAAGACTTCCATGATTTATAATAATGTTCACTGATTGCTCTTTACTCTCCACCCGAAACCAGGCGAGGAAAAAGTTTGCGCCATTGTTTGTTGCACAAATCCTGCTAAGCCAACACTGCTCCACGAGATTCGAGGGGTTAGAATCCGTGTTGCCTAAGCCGGATACCCGGATGCATAAACAGGAAGCGAAAAGGACGCGGGCAAGAAAACAAAGAGGGCGAGAATACGTCGCAGCGAGGCGGTAATGCATGAGTGTCATAAAGTTCATACGTTTAGTTGTTTTAAAGGCTGCTCTGCTCACCATCGTAAATAAACCCCGACGTTTCATACGCAAACATATGTTTACCATCTATTCCCATCTACAATGGGATAAAACACAGTATTTCAGTTGGTGTACGAATTCAATTAGATGCAGTTGTTGCTTTTTACAATTTGACACTTCACTGACGGCGAAACCAATTAAAACCCCAACCAGTGCTCTTAAATTGATTGTTTTTCCGGTTTTCCGTTAACGAATTTTATTCGCATCATTTATTTGCGTCAAAAATTTGAATTTTTGTGCGCGCATCGCGCCTGTTTGGTTTGTTATTGCACGAAGCTGCTTAAATATGTAATACTGGCTCTGTGTGCGCTTCCTCTCGCGCGCGCCGTGTGCTCAATATTTAATGAGAACTAAAAGTTTGCTCATAAACACACACGACACGTGCACGCGTGGCGGCGTAAGCTACTTATTTTAAATAGCTTGACTGCCGTTCGAAATGGATTTTGGCATCACTCCTAGCTGGTGGGGAACCTCTTTAATTTTCATAACTTTAATGCGCGCCGAGCGTAAAACCGTAAAACACCTTAGTAAATTAGAATTTCAGTAATTAATACCCACAATGTAATTTATTCATGGAATTATATACTTCCCACCATACACTCATCAGATATTGTGACGTCATGATTTATTGAACAGCGCGCGCCCTCGGTGGTGGTTTTTGTAAGCTGAGACAAGTGTTGACTACGCGTGGGTTGATGTAAATTCGTGTTTTAAGAGTGAAAAGTGAGAATTACATCGTAATAAAAGATGTATTCACAACCAGATGACAAATTGGGCTTTCTGTAAGTATAATAACAAGTTGTAGTAGCAATAAACAATGCAATACATTAAAATTTTTACATAAAACTAATATAACCTCACTTTTTTAGCACTGAGTAATCGTTCTATAAGAAGAAAATCTTTGTATCAGCTGTTGTTTGGTGAGTAAAATAACAATATCTATTTATTTTTAATGTAAATCAAGTGTATTTGTATTTTAGCACCATAATAATATAAAGTTTATCTTTTTTCAGTGACCTTCAATGTTTCATAAAATAGCGCCCTCCTTAGCAGTTTCTGTAAGGACCGACATAGAGGGCGCTACTGTAGTAACTTCACCCGCTAAAATTATTTGGTTATGAGAATCGTGCGTGTGTTGCTGTGAATTGTCCGTTTCTGCACTAAAAATTGATAATACAAGTGTTTCAAGAAGATATAATTATCACCAGATGATAAATTTACATCCATGTAAGTAT